AGTGAGAATGATCAAAACTGAGGGGGTAACTAATTGGTTTTTAAAAATGCAAGGTTGCATTAATAATTATGACATAACCTCAGGGGGTTATGTCATAATTTGCTGAAATTTATGAAGTTCTAACTGACGTGGCTGCATTGAGTGATTCTGTTGATTTGTAAAAAAAAATTATAATACATTTTATCAATAAAATAAAATAAAAATGATATGAAAAATAGCTTAAATGACCCACTACAGTAATTCAGCCAATACAACAAGAAAAATAACTTCAACCTTACTTTTTCTTATTATTACACTATTCAACCCGTAAAACTAAAAGTTACGCGTTTGTTGAAAAAGTTGGCTTATAAGCGCGGGCTATCAAACGGGCGCTAAATCATATAGAGTAGTTTGTTTTAAGACTTCATTAGTTTTTTTTTTCTTCCTCTCCCACTCCCCCCCCCCCCTCCTCCTCCTCCTCCTCCTCCTCCTCCTCCTCCTCCTCCTCCTCCTCCTTCTTCTTCTTCTTTATTCGTATGTGAAATCACGCGAGCTTAAGCTCTTCATCCTTTTAATCATCCACACTCACTTTTTCCAGATCCGATCGTGCTCTTATGTTCCACGAATTGATTCGACGCATACAGATTGTTCGTCAGGTCTCAGTTGATTCGATCAGTTCTCGATCTGGGTTGTTTTTTCTATGTTTCACACTCATCTTTGATCTATCTCTTCTTATCTTGACATTCACTGATTTCTATCTTGGATTACCCTTTTATATATCTTGGATTATTCCCAATATGTAACCAAGATACATTTGTACAGTTTGTTAATTATGTTTAGTGGACTTCAAAATTCTTCTACGGTAATGGCCTCTAAACGTGATAGTTCATCTCAATTTGGGGATTATGTGTTTTGCGTTTTGTTGTTATAGCCCTCTCTGCATTTTTGGGATTACTGTCTTAACATTTAATGTCTACTTAGTGTTTTTTTAATGTCTTTTTACCGTCCAATTACTTTTCAGGTTTGATTTTGTGCGTACATGCTCACTCGAAGTGAGACAAGGCCCCCAGTGTCAAGCATCGCAAATATATTTGTTGAAGTCATCAAACACCGATATGTGGATGCATCTAGGAAACCGTATGCTTCTAATGATATTATTGTTGATTTAAATATAGATTATGAGTTACTTTGTCGTTCAAGAATGCTTGGATTGCAAATAAGAAAGCCCAACAAAAATTGATTGGTTCATATGAGCAGTCATACTAGTTGTTACTATATGCCCTCCATTGCTTATGATCTTAAAAGCAAACATCATAGCTCCATGATCTCCTTAGATGTTGGTGCCTATAATTGTTTTAAGTACTTCATGTCATTGGATGCATGGATTCAAGATTGGAAACATTATATTCCCGTTCTTATCATTGATGAGTCATTTGTAAAAGCATATTACAACTTTACAAGGGTACTATACTAATGCTCAAGATGCTAACAAACTGATTTTTCCTTTGGCTTTTGGTGTGTGTGATACGGAGCAAAAGAAAAACAAGACTTGGTTTTTTAAGAAACTAAAAGCATGTCCTGGGTATAGGCATGATTTATGTATTGTTTCATATCGTCACGGGGGTATTATACATGCATCAAAAGAGGTGTTTGAACATGTTGAACATGACTACAGTGTGTACCACCTGCTAGGAAATATTAGGACAAAATTCAAGGGCTCTACTATAGGTCTTCTTGCATGGAAGTTTGATCAGGCAAGCTGCTAGGGCCGCTACTCCTCAATTTGAAGAGTATTTGACGTCATTAAATGTAGAAGATCAGATGCTTGTATTCAGGATTATTTGCATTAGAAAGGTGTTGAGAAACGGTCTCGTTGTTTTTGTACTCACATTAGGTATTCTCTAATGACATCTATAAATGCCAAGTCAGTGATTTGTAAGTCTTTTATTACTTTTTATATCCTACACTAACATTTGTAAGACTTTTATTACTTTTTTTTTCTCTCACTATTATTGACTGTTATGGTTTGTTCGCATTGTAACTGTTATGGGATTTTGGCGTTTGATTTGATGTACTTTTGTTATTCATACTCAAAATTCTTGGTTGTTAGATGTGTAGGCAATTAACTGACATTTTTAAAATTATTGTCTTATTACGGATTGATTAATGTCTATAAGTAGACTTTAATTTTAATTGCTTTTACTAGAGCCTTCAACCGTATGAGATCCAGAATGCCCTTTAAGACTTCTCAATTTTAACCTGATGTCTCATTCTCTTTTCACAAGTTATATGAATCAACTATCATATTCATTATGATAGTGGTTAAATTAGTGGTTAACTCACACTCAAAAATTGCCTATACATAAAAATGTCATTCATACATCTAATTTTTGTCTTCAAATAGATGCATAGAAATTTGTGTTCATATTCATGTGATGTGTATAGTACATATGCATGAGAAATACATCTAAATCTCATTTGATCATTTCAGTTGTTGAATCTATTAAGTGTCATACTTACTTTATAGTTTTGTAGTAAAGTTTGTATTATTTTAGCTGGATGCATTTAATGTCTACAATTATGCCTTTAAGGACTAGTTACTATCCACTTATGGACTTATTGCATACTTCGACCAGATATTACAAGTCAACTTAATACTAAAAAAAGTGAATAATCATTTCATATGACACCAAAAAGAATACTACCTCCGGTTTTTTTAATCTTCACAGTTTGACTTCACACAAAATAAGGAAAGAAATTTGACTTTACTGTAGAGTACACTGTTGAGACACTGTTTGACACTGTTTGGCACTGTAGAGACACTGTTTGGCACTGTTGAGACACTGTTTGGCACTGTTTGGCACTGTTTTGATGTAGATTTCTTTGCCAAAAAAAGAAATAAGGAAGTGTGAAGTTTATTTTAGACCGTCCCAAAAAGGAAAGTGTGAAGTTTATTAAAAACCGGAGGGAGTATTACATAGCCAAAATTTGAAACTAATTATCATCAATTTTTAGGAACAAGACATATTGATCAAAAGAAGGAGGTTTTACAAGTTTTTTTCCTTTCTAGTAAACTAATTATTATAAAACATCTTGGTCCAACTATTGCTTTCGTGATGCATACAACCATGCATCAATAGTTGTGTCGTCATTTGTTGTCGGTACTTATCCATGTCTTGCTTTAAAACTTCACTTACATCTTTATTCTGAATTGCTCAAGTTGCTCCTCGTTTAATAGTTGCTCTATTCTTTCAATGGCAGTTCAGTTTTAGCTTCTTCTCCATCATAAGAAGTTAGAAGAAGAACAATGATTGTATGGATGAATGCTTGGGTTTGTGGAAAATTGCAATTTCAGGATGTCTTCTTTGGCCTCAAGCTGTGAAAAGTTCCCCTTTCATTGGTATGTGGTATGATTAGTGGTCTCCACGACAGGTATTCTCTTGAATTTGATCGAGTCCTTCACATTATTTTTACTTGGAGTCAATTTCTTAGCTTCTTGTGTCAGTAAATTTTGATGTATTTTTCATTTCTTATATAATCTTTTAGGATGCATCTTTAATTTTCTTGGGAGGAGTGTGAGTTCTTTGACGTTTAGTTAACATGATAGAACTTTTCAATGCTTCTTACAATTTAGTCGTATTATAGTACCCCCAATTACTATGTACTGTAAAATCCCTTCAATATCATCTTAGGAAAAAGAATAGAACATTATTAAGAAAGAAGCATTCTTTATTTTAACCTTCAGCGTGTTGAACGGAATTCATGTATCCCAAGACTTCAAGAAGAAAAAATTGATCAATAGGAATCCAATTACAACAATGAGGGAGAGGACAATGACAAACAACCCCCTGCAACTCCAATTTTGAAACTAAACCTTGGTTAGAAACCTCATTCGTCTTCAGAATTCAATACCGATTTCCAGGAAAGTCACCCCTCACCATCCACACCCGGCTTTGTCCAAGTGCCCTGTTTGCGCCAGTAGATTTTGGGCTACGCTTCTCCCGAAGCAAGTGAGAAAGGTGGTTATGAAGGACTGAGGTAGGGGTTCGAAGGCTATTGAGGGTGCTAGGGAGGGGACTGGTAAGGCGGGCGGACGACGGCCATGTGTGGCGGTGGATGTGGTGGTCACTGGCGAGTGTTGGTTGGTCGCTAGGGATAAGTCACTGGCGGTGGTCACTGAATGGGGCCGTAGTAAAAAAAACAAAAAAAAAAACAGATTTTAAAAATTTAAAATGAGAGGAATTTAAAAATACTTTTTAAACATATACGGAGTATTTAACTTATAGAACATTACTAAATAAAATATAGTCAAAGTAGAGTATATGAATAGTGCAAAATGTTCAATACTGCATTTGAAAGAGAAGGGAGATAGTATATGATATGTATGATTTGGACTAAAGGGGTGTTTGGAACTGAATCCGCTTCTGCTTCTTTTTTAAAACAGAAGCAGAATCAGAATCAGTTTTCAGCAGCTGATCTCCCTCAACTTCTCAAAAAAACTGATTCTATGAGTAAATTAGAGCACCAGAATCACTTTTGCACTTGCATTCAAACACTCCAACTCCTGTTTCTGCTTCCTAAGGAACATAAACAGTTTTAAGAATCAGATCCCAAATCTGATTTAGAATCAGTTTTAAGCTGATCTCCCTCAACTTCTCAAAAACCCGATTCTATGAGTAAATTAGAGCACTAGAATCACTTTTGCACTTTCACCCAAACACTCCAACTTTTTTCTGCTCCCTGAAAAGCAGAAACAGTTTTAAGAATGAGATCCAAACATCCATAGACTTAAATATCCGAACAGTAAGCATTGATTACTATGGAACCGGCCCTTACAGTACCAAACGCCAGGTGTCCATAACATAATCAAAACAATTTAAACAATCTGTTGTGCTGAATAAGCTGCCGGAATTTCGCCAGCTTCCCAGCAATTAGGGAGTAATTAATCGAGAGCTTTAATTTCCACATTAAATGTTTCATCGATCCAACCATTTCGATCTGCCCATATAAATACACTCCCTTCTTCCCTTCTTCAGTTAGGCCTCAGACGAAAACAACTAAATAAAAAAATACGTACGCACGTAGTATAATTAATGGCTTCTCTTAAGTTGTGCATCACTCTCTTTCTCCTCGCGACTGCAGTTTCTGCTGCTTGTGCTGCTAGGAGTATGCCGGCGGCAACCCAAAATGAGAGCGGCTTCAATGACCAGAAGAACTTCGTCTCCTATGGCGGAATTGGTGGCATGAACGGAATCGGAAGCGGCGGTCTCCCCTACGGTGGCTTCGCCAGCGGCACGGGTGCCGGTGGTGATTTCGGAGGGGCCGGCCTTGGTGGAGGATTTGGTGGTGGCTCCGGGCTTGGCGGAGAAAGCACCTTGCCAACTCTCGGTGGAACTAGCGGCGGTCTTGATGGCGGCGTCGGCGGTGAAGCTGATGACCTTTCACTTCCATGAAGACCCGTCAATTAAATTAGTGCTCTAATTAAATTGCTTTAATAAATTACTCCGGATTAAGAAGTACTAGTACTAATTATTCGTATTATTATTACAAAAATTCCTTTCACATATTACTATGGGGTGGACAAAAATATTCTATTAGTGATCATAATTGTCTTGAAAATTTATATCACAGTAACTTACATGTAATTACTATGATGTAAATTTAAAAACAATTATAATAACTAATAATTATTTCGTACTAAGTAATATTTTTGATCATGACTCTTTTATTAGTAATATTTAAAGAAACACTCTCAATTATCAGTAGTATTTGTTGTATCATATGTTTGAATTTCATTGAGGTTGTTTTGGTATTTTTTTTAAAGAGATACTTAATTATCATTAATCAAATCGTTGGCTAAAGCCGAAACAATAAAAGGAGGAAAATCAGCCCAAAACTGCGAATCAGACAAAGAACAAGCCGCCTTAGCAAGCAAATGAGTTGGCTTGTTCGCTGATTGCCTCACATGACAAAATGAAATAAACGAAAAAGAATTCGCCAAATCTCGTATGTCATCTCACAAAAGTCCCACCAAAGAACAACTTGAGCCACTTAGGGTCTGTTTGCAACAGCTTCTGCTTTTAAAAAAGTGTTTTTTTTAATGAAATGAGGAGAAGTAATTAAATAAAAGTTGATAGTGTTTGAGGAAAAAGTGATTTTGAAAAGTAAGAGTGGATAGTGCTTGGTAAAATAAGTGCTTTTGTGTAATAGAAAAAGTAAAAGCACTTTTGACGCGGAAACCGAGAAAACTAAAAGTTGTAGTGTTTGGGAAAATAAGTGTTTTTTTAAAACCAAAAAGTGAGAAGTGTTTTTTTAAAAGGAGTTGCAAACCAACCCTTAAGATTTCTGTAATTGCCCCCGCTGCATCAAATTGACAAATTCAACCGAAGTAAAGTCATACTCTTTTAGCCAACTCAAAGCTTCCCGGATACTCACGAGCTCCGCTCCCAATGCTGTCAACACTCTTAGATGCCCCTGCCACTCCGAATTCCGTAAGCACCATCCAAGCTCGCAACACTCTGCCCACATCGCCGCATCCACGTTTAGCTTCCACCGGCCTAGATCCGGTCTCCTCCAGGAAACTCGTCCCAGCTGAGGTGTATACGGCCTTCTCCCCTTGGCGACCTCCTGCTGCGCCTGCTGCCATCCATATAATTAAGGATTATATATATATGTGCGTTTTGATTCTAGCTTCTTTTTTTATTGTCTTGAGAATTCTCGAGGGCGCGTAATATGCATGCAATTCTACATGTGTGAAAATCAAACTTCATAAAAGACGTCATATTGATGTCATCGATTACAAACAAATTAAACATTCTCAGCTCCTACAATAGTTGTTCTTTTACGTAGGGGTGGGATCGGTCCGGTCTGGAACGAGTTTTTGCTAAACCGTACCCCGGAAATTACCCGGAAGGTCTCGAGTTGGGTTTTTGGTAACCCGGGTTCAGGTTGGGCCGGTTAAAGCCCGAACGTGAAATATCTCATTGTTCTTTTATATTTTAACACCTATTTTCAAATAAAATATTAAGATAATTATCTTATTTGGATTTGAATTGTTGGTGATTTTGGATGTAAAGTATTTTACTCTAGACAACTATGGCATTTCACTCAATTTTAAAGTTTGGAATTGAGTGAAATCGAGTATGAAAGTAGCTGACTCATCGTCTATCTATCTGCCCATACCTAGCAAATGTCATAGTTCTCTGGAGTATTAATTTTTATACTCCACATAAGTTTTGTATGTTTTTTATAATGTTAGTAATTTTTTATAAGATGATTGATGCACATCTATTAAATTTAATTTAATTGATGACGTCTAATTGAAATGCAGCCAAACTTCTCGGTATTTTAAAGTTTGTCACAATTTCTTTGTTTTGGATGAATTTAAAAGTTTGACACACTTTTCCTTTTTGGTAGTTATTTCTTATAAAAATACTCAATTATTCTTATTTTTCTACTTTTATTTTATCTTTTTATATTTTCCCAACATCTCTCCTACTTTAATTTTTCTACAATATTCAATACCTCTACTATTTCATTCTTAAATAATGTGGCCAAATCTATGATATTGAACTTTAAATACGGATGAAATATTGAACTAGTTAACTGTAATATTTTACATCTATTAAAATTCCATAATGTAGATAATACGTGAAACGCCGTATTAAGTATTATATATATTAGATAGTCAAATAAAATGCATTAATGTATAAATAACTTAATATTTAAAAATGTAATTTTAATTAGACTTCTATGAGATACAAATCAAATGAGAAAAACATTGAAGTCGTTCCAAATGGAATTATAATAGATTTCTTAAAAAAGAGGCAAATAAACGCGTAGAGTTGTGATTTATTTTGCAAAAGCTTTTGCTATTCACTACAAAAAAACAAGATTGGCATAGGCTAGATTCGTCGAAATTCATAGTGGAATTGACAAGGATACGTCAAATTTGTGTGAATTTTTTTTTATTACGAGGTATTTGATACGAAATCATCTAACAATCCATGTCAAATTTATGTCAATTTCATAATTATTTGTATTGATTGTATGTAATAATAAAATATGGAGTAATATTTTATTTAATATTGTTCTTGTGATGTGTTACATAACTATTCTGCCCCCAATAAATTTTCTTTCTAGATCCGCCACTGATCACTTCAGTTATATTTTTATCCACACGTTTAATTCTAATACTACATCTATCCTAATTTTTCTTGCAAAGTTAATATGATTTGGTCAACTAATGTTAACCAAATTAAACTTTAATTAATTGACGCATTTTCAAACTTTAATCTCCACGCCTTTCCTCAGTCAATTAATCATTTAATGGTTGTGAGCACTGTACTGTTTGATTTGAAAGCAAATGAATCCTTTTATCGGCCACTTCGTGCTATGGAATAGATAATCACTTGTAAATTGAGTTGTCATTTTTTTTAAATGAGTTGCATGGTAGATAAGAAATTTAGTTCACCCAGAGAAAACCGGATGGAGAAGGAGATTTGGTAATATGGTTGACGAGCTCTTTCTTCATATTGGAATTCGATATATTTATTCTTCGTAAAAGAGATGTAAACTATGTACTAGTTGTCATTCCTCCGACTAAAATATTTTACATGGTACAAGGTAGAATATTTTTGAAAACATTTTCTACAGTTCATATTAAATAATTAAAAAAAACAGTGTAAAATGTTCGCATCCTCATACTTTACATGCAAAATGTTTACTTTACATCACAACAAACAGGCCCTTAGACACTAAAATTTAGACGATGCACAAAAAATGATTATTTATATAAAAAATGTGATTAATAAGCATTAGATTTAAAAAAAATTTCTCTACCGATTTTATCTGATAGTGACATGACTTGACACAATGACTAGCTCAAGATTGAATCTCCTTGACCAACAAAAGATATTCAACAACTTCAAGTCTATAAATACAAAGGGGGATAAGGGTCAGTTTGGTCCTCGAAGTTGCAAAAAAGGGGTCAAATAAGTCCTTATATAGAAAATTCTGTCCGGATATGCCATTTGAGGTGGCTCCCGGTGGAATTTTTTGATGAAATTTTTTGAGCATCTTATTCATTAAGTCTAGTTTACTCATACCAAATTTCAAATAAAAATTCAATCGGGAACACATTCAAATGAATTCTTGAAGATAACTGTGCCGTTAAAAGCGCAGTTATCTGCAAGAATTCATTTGAATGTCTCCCCGATTGAATTGTTAGCTGAAATTTGGTATGAGTAAACTAGACTTAATGAATAAGATGATCAAAAAATTTCATCAAAAAATTCTATCGGGAGCCACCTCAAATGGCACGTCCGGACAAAATCTTCTATATAAGGACTTATTTGACCCCTTTTTTGCAACTTCGAGGACCAAACTGACCCTTTACTCAATACAAAGGAGAGTAATGCTATATGTACACGCCGGTTTACACGGCGGTGTACACAGCTTAAGAAGCCCCACCCCTTCATTCTAACTCACCCCACTTTTGAATTAATCCTCCTCACTTCCCTCCCACTCCCCTTTTTCCTCTCCCTCCCTGCGCCCAAATTCCCTCTCCTTCTCTTCCTGTTTTCTTTTTTCTTCTCTCCCTCCCTGCACCCAACTTCCTTCTCCCTCTTTTCCTCTTTTCTTTTATCTTTTCTCCCCCTCCCTGCACCCAACATTCTTCAGCCTCTTTTCCTCTTTCCTTCTCCCTCGTAAATAACTCATCTCCCTTTCTCCATCTTTTTTCTTTTCTTGTTTTCTTCATTTCAAAAGCTCTCACTTTTTTGCAGATCTGAATCCGTACAGAAAAACAAGAGGAGTCACAATTAAATCTACTTTGCTCTCTCAAATATTATTCATGAGGTAATACTTTATTTCATATATTTTTTTGCATTTATGGTTATATTTTTTCCTTTTTTTAATTTTATTTATACAAAATATGTTGTGGTGATGTTGATGAATGTTTATTACAATATAATATTAGTATGGATTTGTTATAATTTAAAATTTTATTCAACCATTATAGCTCACTTTTATGCCTATTAAGTGTTTGTTGAAATGTTTCAATGAGATGTAACTATGTATAATTGATTTTTAGCTTTAATTCAGTTTATGGTTTTGCTGAGATGTCTGTGCATTTTTTAGTTGTCTGTGCGTTTTACCTGAGACGTCTGTGTACTTTGTTGTTATACGTTTGTGGATTTTATAGTTGTCTTTATGGTTTTCCTGAGACGTCTGTGTAGTGTGTTGTTATATGTTTATGCATTTTTTAGTTGTCTGTGCGTTTTACCTGAGACGTCTGTGTAGTTTGTTGTTATACGTTTGTGGATTTTATAGTTGTCTTTATGGTTTTCCTGAGACGTCTGTGTAGTGTGTTGTTATATGTTTATGCATTTTTAGTTGTCTGTGCGTTTTACCTGAGACGTCTGTGTAGTTTGTTGTTATATGTTTGTGGATTTTATAGTTATCTTTATGGTTTTCCTGAGACGTCTGTGTAGTGTGTTGTTATATGTTTATGCATTTTTTAGCTGTCTGTGCGTTTTACCTGAGACGTCTGTGTAGTTTGTTGTTATACGTTTGTGCTTTTTTGAAGTGTCTACACAGACAATATTTTTGAACGTTTTTGCAAATGTGTTGTAAAATCTATGCAAATGAATGGAATTGGGTCTGTTCTTGTGCACGTTCTTTGGGCTTAGGATGTTTTTACTTGGATTGTAATTTGTTGGTCTGGTCTGGTCTGATCTGGTCTGGTAAGGTCTGGTTTCTTTGTATTTTGTCTGTTCAAGTATTTTGTCTGTTAGATGAAGAGTTTAGATGGATATGATATTACATGTCTGGTCACAAACAATAGTTACTAGAATGGGTTAATGTTTTACATCCATAATGAGAGTAAGATTACTAATTCACCTTTCATAATTCAACATTGTTTAAAAACACAATTTACTTCACCAATATTGAAAGTCATTTTCTTTTTCACACGACAAAAACACACATCTTTGAGAATAAAATCACTCCAAATACAATATCATTCTAAATGTAAAAACTTTAACTTTACACCGAATACAATATCATTCCAAATGTAAAAACATTAAATTTACAATATAAGTAATTACAAACATAAATCCTTTATTATCCTTTGCTTTGAAGCTCTCATGCAAACATGTAAACACATGTTTCGAAGGTTCATTATCCCGCCATGCAAAGAGCATAAATAGTTCCTGTCAAGAAAATAAAAATCATTACAACTATTAAACCTGAATGTGCATCCATTTAGGCTTATATGTGCCGCCTAAAAACATAATAAAGCTATATTTAAAGTTATATAAGGATGTTTTTACTTGGACTGTAATTTGTCCCAGACCAGACCAGACCAGTCCAGACCAGACCAGTTCAGACCAGACCAGACCAGACCAGACTTGGATAGTTATAAAAATACAAAGAAACCAGACCTTACCAGACCAGATCAGACCAGACCAGACCAACAAATTACAGTCCAAGTAAAAACATCCTAAGCCCAAAGAACGTGCACAAGAACAGACCCAATTCCATTCATTTGCATAGATTTTACAACACATTTGCAAAAACGTTCAAAAATATTGTCTATGTAGACACTTCAAAAAAGCACAAATGTAAAACAACAAACTACACATACGTCTCAGGTAAAACGCACAGACAGCTAAAAAATGCATAAACATATAACAACACACTACACAGACGTCTCAGGAAAACCATAAAGATAACTATAAAATCCACAAACATATAACAACAAACTACACAGACGTCTCAGGTAAAACGCACAGACAACTAAAAAATGCATAAACATATAACAACACACTACACAGACGTCTCAGGAAAACCATAAAGACAACTATAAAATCCACAAACGTATAACAACAAACTACACAGACGTCTCAGGTAAAACGCACAGACAACTAAAAAATGCATAAACATATAACAACACACTACACAGACGTCTCAGGAAAACCATAAAGACAACTATAAAATCCACAAACGTATAACAACAAAGTACACAGACGTCTCAGGTAAAACGCACAGACAACTAAAAAATGCACAGACATCTCAGCAAAACCATAAACTGAATTAAAGCTAAAAATCAATTATACATAGTTACATCTCATTGAAACATTTCAACAAACACTTAATAGGCATAAAAGTGAGCTATAATGGTTGAATAAAATTTTAAATTATAACAAATCCATACTAATATTATATTGTAATAAACATTCATCAACATCACCACAACATATTTTGTATAAATAAAATTAAAAAAAGGAAAAAATATAACCATAAATGCAAAAAAATATATGAAATAAAGTATTACCTCATGAATAATATTTGAGAGAGCAAAGTAGATTTAATTGTGACTCCTCTTGTTTTTCTGTACGGATTCAGATCTGCAAAAAAGTGAGAGCTTTTGAAATGAAGAAAACAAGAAAAGAAAAAAGATGGAGAAAGGGAGATGAGTTATTTACGAGGGAGAAGGAAAGAGGAAAAGAGGCTGAAGAATGTTGGGTGCAGGGAGGGGGAGAAAAGATAAAAGAAAAGAGGAAAAGAGGGAGAAGGAAGTTGGGTGCAGGGAGGGAGAGAAGAAAAAAGAAAACAGGAAGAGAAGGAGAGGGAATTTGGGCGCAGGGAGGGAGAGGAAAAAGGGGAGTGGGAGGGAAGTGAGGAGGATTAATTCAAAAGTGGGGTGAGTTAGAATGAAGGGGTGGGGCTTCTTAAGCTGTGTACACCGCCGTGTAAACCGGCGTGTACATATAGCATTAGGGATACAAAGGAAGTGCGGTGAGTTAAGAGTGTGCAACTAAGAAGGAAAAACGAGCTTATATGACATATCTAGCAAAGGAGCAAGTACTCATCTATCACTCGTCTTCTTAGCTAACCCCACTTTACTAAGCTCTTAGACTAGTTCATTCATGGATATATCTTTAGAGTTTATATTAGTTGGATGTTTAGAATTACTTTGTAAAACTAAACGGGTTGTAAATATGGAGGGCTTCATGATCAAATCCAGAGTGGCAGAGTGTAGAAGGACACGAGTAGCTTTTAACAAGTCAATGCTATTAGTGAAAAACCTTGTAGAGGATAGGAATGAGTAGTTTGGAGTGGTGTTCAAACTCCTTGCGAAAAAAAAAATTATGCTTGTGATCAAGGGTAGATTGGACACTAAGTGTATTGGCTGAATAACTTAGTGACATACATCTGAAAGAGGATGAGAGTGGATGTAAGAGGATTCCACCACCTCTGAACCAAGATATATCTTGTGTTCCTTTTACTTTCAGTTCCTACACTATTATATTCATACTCATCTCAAACACCTATTTAAAACACAACTCTCAAACAACCTTCACATTGATTAGTAAACTATACTATCAAAGAGTCATTACATACATAATTTCCTAAATAAAATATTTGTATTCCTTAAACACCAACAACATACTCAACTAGCAGGCTAATATCCATTTCATTCATCAAAGTATTCACAAACAACTTAAAGTGTCAGAAACTCTCACTTCAGAAGCAATCCATGGATTAACCTGATTTTACACAATTGACCGGCAATCTCCTGCTAAGTCACTGACAGCCTACTGTTAGACTAATCAGATAGTAGCATGCTGCTTACACAGTCCTTAAACACTTCATAAATACTTTGATTGTTGCCTAAATCCATCTCCTCACCAATACTAAAAGAGTCATAACCCATATCCTTTGTTACTATCAGTTTCAAGGTCTCCCAAAAAATCTTGAAACTCATTCTATTAGAGGGGAATCTTTGAAAAAGTGAAAAGATTTAAAATTTTATTCACCACAGATTTTTACCTCATCAGGGACCATCAATTATATCGTGGGAGAAATCTATGATATATATGGTGAGCATCGTACTCCCACCGCTAAAATACAAGTGAATATTTACACGTGTGAACAATGATTTTTATTTATTTTAGTAGTAAGGTGGTGTAACCCGCGTTTAAAGAAATGCAAGTCACGTTGATGGGAAATGTAACTGGATGCAAGTCGATATGTAAATTGTCTAGTATGGAGTATAAGAAATAAAACATTGATATCAATGTAAACAATGAAAAAAGGAGTCTAATTACCCAATTACATACATTACATAAATAGTGAATAAATGTTTTGTTTTTAACGTAAGGGTTATAAAATATATATTTAAAAAATCACAATCACGTACCCAAAACTCGCGTAAACAACGATTTTTTATTTCAACAACAGTGGTTATTTTGTGATATAACTCGTGTTATGACAAATGTAATTCGCGATGATGGAGAATGTAACTCGTGCGTATGTAAAATGTAACTTGTTGAGACAAGTCCAAGTCTAACTCACGCATTTAAAATTGTAACTCGCTCACATGAAGATGTAGATCATGCATAAAAAGATGTAACTCCATGTTTTTTTTTTTTTTTTTTTTTTTTTTTTTTTTTTTTTTTTTTCCCAGGAATCGTGTATAAACGTAACTCATACATTTGAAAATGTAATTAAACAACACATATGCAAATGTATTCTCTTGTTTTATCAAATGTAGATTGAAATAAACATACTCAATGACTTAAATCATCTGAGTGGTTTTGCTTGGAATGAAGATGATCAATGTGTGACATGCACCAAAGATGTCATTGATGACTAGGATATAGTTCAGTATATATACCCTTACAGCCCACTGTATAGTTACAATGTATTTTTGTGTCTTTTCTATATGCTGAGTCATCCAAGCGCACTTGGTTTAAGGAATAAACCTTTTCTACACTATGATGAGCTGGTTGAGGTGTTTAAGAATGTTCGATCTACAAGAGTTCGAGCAAAGAATGCAGCTGATGCAATTGAAGACAAGATGGACAAGAATGAGATGATGAAACTGATTTCGGAAGGGCATATGGAGAAGATCAAATGAGTAACAAGGGGCTAGTACGGATGGTGTATCTGTTACCAATTCAAGCAATGAGCAAAGCACAAAATAAGAAAGTTAGAAATGTGACTAGCAAAAAGAGGAAAACATGTGATGATGGTTTTACTACTTTGGTTGTTGAGATATGAAAGTTTGAATCTTCTTACTGTGAGAGCACAGAGTGCCTAAAAATATTCCTTCCTTCTTTAGTTAACAAGCTGCTATGACTGATAGAAGGTTGATGATTTTTAATGAGATCATTAAATTGGATGCTTTCTCAAAACAAGAAGTGATATATGCAGGTAAGCATATATTGAAAGATGATCACAAGTTTGATACTACTTATGCTCTTCCTATCACATTTAGAAATGATTATGTTCTAAAGCAATTGACATGCATGGCCCCATATCATCCCATCTTACCTTTGAAAATACTTTTGGGTGTGTTAGTTTTGAATAATAGTATAAAGCAAGGAGGTGATGATACCTCTGGACTTTATTTTTGCTAGTACATTTTAATCATCTAATGAGTATTACAAATGTCAGTAATATCTTCAGTACATTCACATTATTATCTTAATATATTGTTGCCTATACATTATTGGGTAGTTAACTCAATGATGTTTAAAAGTGTTATAGAACTTGTAAGTTGCAACATTCACTTGTTTTTGCTACAACTATTTTTTTAAAAATATATTCACCTTTATTTATTAGTGTATGTCATTATGTGTTTACTTAAATAGAATTATTTATTAATGTTCACCAATCTTTACCTTTGTGTGCAAGATATCTTTGTCATTTGTCGACTAATCATTCTTTGCTTAAAAAATAATTCATTCAATTAGTTTTGATATTACTTATTGTTAAGATATTTCATTTTTTCTTCAATTCAGTAATAAGTTTAGAAATAATTACATACGAAATATGTGTCTAAAATAAAGGTTGTTTACAAAAACATGACATCTTATGTGTAGTAACTTTAGTCAAGTAAGTTACGTTCACTTTTTATACTTAAGTGACTATGAGACTATATTATACATAGTAATAACTACTCGATCCGTATTAGTTAGATTTTGTAAAGAAGTTTTATTTCAATTATATTTTTTTAAAATATAAATATGCGAAGAACAAATATTTAAAGGGCATTGAAGTAAATCACCAAAATTGCAATATAAGATACTTTCTCTGTCCTACTAAGATTATCTCATCTTTGTCTCTTGGGGTGTCTCACTAAGATTGTATCATACCAAATTTGGTAAAATTTATGTAGTTCTAAATGATTCATACATTATTTGTACTTTATCAATTCAATATCAATCACATAAATTCACTTTTATTAATCATCGCACCACATTCTCACGCCCTAATTTTAGTAGCACATAGGTAGTATCATTCAACGAAACAAATTGATGTGATAGTCCTTAACCTAAACCAAACACCAACGGGATACAGATTGAATAGTCCATCAATCTCACATACTCAAAAATTTAACATTTCAAAGTAATCTGACATTTTTTTAACCAAACGGGTCCTTCAATGATTTTCTATGGTATGGTTTTATTGTTGTCTGTGAGATCCTCATCCAAACTAATTAAGTTGCAGATCAGAGTCAAGTATGGGTCCGTCATGTTGCATGACCTCATACACAACTGAACAATCGAGGTCCCCCAAACCCAAGTTCATTGCCTTCTTGAATGCCTGCATTCAAATTGCAAGCCTGAATAGATGAATAATAAATGCTATTATAAATTCGATGTTAAATTCATATTCTTAACCCTCATATAATACTTGCCCTTCGCCGATTGTCATTACCTCTAAGGGCGGAATAAGAGCACTAGACCGGATTGGGCTAATATAAAGAATATGGGGGGGATTACACGGAATATTTTACACTAAAAATTAAGACATTTGTTAGATTCTGGAAGGGCCAAGGTTTAGTTTGGCCCCCTCTACCGCCGCCCCTGGATTTACTTCATCCACTTTCCAGGATTTCACAAAGTGTAAGTATCCATGGATGTGTACATTGGTTCCCGTTCGGTTATAGTTCAATTCATTTCGGTTTGTAATGGACATATTAAGAGAAAGGATTTTTCCATAAATATAATTTATGAACTTTAACATAGCAATGGTTACTAAAACTGATATTATATTCATTAAAGTATAACAAGTCAAATTTTTATCCACCGCTCTTACTAGTTACTATAGTCATATATTCGTTCTTAATTCTTGGAAGAACAATTATCAAATAAAAAGCATTTTTTTTACCCCGGAAGGGAAACCACCCATTTGGTGGGGCAAATGTCGGGGGACATTTGCCGGTGTTTTATTAATATAGAGACGGATACAGAAAGAGAGGGGGACCAGACCAATACCTCTCAACAAAGATATAGTGAAAAGAGAAATAAGAAAAAATAAATGATTTTTTTTGGAGGGGGCTAGGCCTGACCCAAAAATAAAAAAAAAAATGAATTAAAACCTGAACCTAGGCATTCCGAAAAGATCAGCATAATAACTCGTTTTAGTATAAAAAGCATACTATGCTTCGAGTTGATTCGATTCGCCTTGGATGTATTTTTTTAGTTTTATTGAATTTAACCAGATGTTTCTAAAACATTCATATAACATTTATAGTGTAATGCATCACATTTACATAAAATATACACTACTTATATTAATATCTCTTGTTGGGTAGTCCTCGTGGAGCCCCAAGACATGAAGAAGCATATGGGGCACGACCAATCGGCCTACTGTGAATACCATCAGAGGGCCGGCCACCTGACAGACAATTGCAGCCAATTGAGGAAGGCAATTGACGAGCTAATCCGCCAGGGGTACTTGGGCGAATTCACCCAGCTGCTGAACAAAAACAGCCAGCAGAAGCCGAACCCCAGGCACAAGACATGGCGCCGCGACGACCGGCGCGAGGCGGAACCTCAGGACGTGGATTATCGGAGTGCAGATAAACGTCCGGAGGGATCCTTTGGCCCGAAGGGCAAAAAGAAGAAGTTGGAGATCAAGGTGATCTTCGGGGGCGCTGAGACAGGGGATACACCCGCTGAGCGGAAAAAATTTGAGAGATCGCTCTATGTGGGTTCCGTATCAGCACCCCCCGCTAAGCGCAACAAAATCGAGGCGATCACCTTCGGTCCCGCCGATCTGCCAATGTCACCAGCGCCGCACAGAGACGAGCTGGTGATCAGCATGGACGTGAACGATGCCATCGTCCGCCGCGTCCTTGTGGATACCGGGAGCAGTGTGAACGTCCTCTACTGGGAGGCTTTCGAGGGAATGAAGCTCAGGAAGGACATGTTGCACCCTCTGCGCACCCCGCTGTCCGGCTTCACCGGGGATTGCATTGACGCTGAGGGCACCATAGTCTTGCCAGTGGAGATCGGCGATGGCCCCCACACCGCCCGGATCGGAATGACGTTCGTCGTGGTCCGCCTGAAGTGCGCCCACAACGCCATTTTGGGCCGACCCGGCCTAGAAGACTTGGGGGCCATATGCTCCGTACGGCACTCATGCATCAAATTCCCCACCGACACTGGAGTGGGAGTAGCACGTACGGACCCGCATATGGCCAGAGCCTGCTACACGAAGGCCATGGAGAAGCTCAACGAGCGGGAGGCTCGGGTCAACAGCATCTCCGAGAAGGCCAAACAAGCCGACTGGGATGCTCATCTGGAACCAGCAACTCTGGTGGAGGAAATTGAACTCGACGATCCGACGGACAGAAAGGTGTCCATTGGTGCGGATCTAGAGCCGGAAATCAGGGCAGGGGTCATAGCCGTCCTCCGGAGGTTCAGGATCTTGTTCGCCAGAGGGCCGGAGGACATGCCGGGCATCGACCCCAACCTCATATGCCATAAACTCGCCGTGCGGCCGGATGCCAAGCCTATACAACAGAAGAAGAGATATATGGCGGCCGACCGACGCGATTTCATCAGGAAGGAAACAGCAACTCTCCTCAGCATCAAACATATCCGGCCGGTCATCCACGTGGAGTGGTTGGCCAACGTGGTACTAGCCCCAAAGGGCGACACTTGGCGGATGTGCGTCGATTACTCGGACCTCAACAAAGCTTGTCCGATGGACCCTTACCCTGTCCCGAGGATCGACCTGCTGGTGGATGAAACAGCAGGCTGTGAGCTGCTCAGCTTCATGGACGCATTCAGGGGCTACCATCAGGTGTTCATGCACCCCGATGATGCCGAAAAAACGGCGTTCGTTACGGCGGACGGCGTGTATTGCTACATCGTCATGCCGTTCGGCCTGAGGAACGCCATGGCTACTTTTCAGAGGATGATTGGGATGTTGTTCAAGGACGTACTTGGAAAGACAATGGAAGCTTACGTGGATGACATCCTGATCAAAAGCAAGAAAAAGGAGGATCATGTCCAGGACATGGAGAGGGTCTTCAGCATCATGGAGAAGGCCAGCATGAGGCTCAATCCGAAGAAGTGTGCCTTCGCCGTCAGGGGCGGCAAGTTCCTCGGCTAAATGATGAGCGAGCGGGGGATCGAGCCTAACCCGGAGAAGGTGAAGGCGATTATGGACATGGAGGCCCCAAAGAACCTAAAAGACGTGCAGCGGCTCACCGGGCGTCTGGCGGCCCTGAGCAGATTCTTATCCAAGCTGGCTGATAAGGCGATTCCCTTTTTTCAGATCATGAAGAAGGCCAATCCCTTTCAATGGACCCCGGAGTGCCAAACTGCTTTCGAAGATTTCAAGGTATATCTCTCCTCCTCGCTCGTCCTCACCAAGGCAGATCCCGGGGAGAGATTATACATGTACTTGGCAGTAGCCGACCTGGCCGTAAGTGCCGTGCTACTGAAGGAATCTGAAGGCGTTCAGCGGCCAATATACTTTGTAAGTAAGGCGCTGAACGGTCCCGAGACGAGGTACACACTGATGGAAAAGACGATCCTCGCCTTGATTGCATCCATCAAGCGCCTGGCACCGTATTTCCAAGCACACCCGGTGACTATCTACACGACGCAGCCCCTCGCCACAGTCCTCAGGAACCCAATGGCAAGCGGAAGGATAACGAAGTGGTCCTTGATGATCGGCCAGTATGACGTGGACTTCAAGCCGAGGCCGACGATCAAAGGGCAGGCTCTGGCGGACTTCATTGCGGAATGCACCGCGCGCACCGAGGACGGAACCCATGACAACAATGACTTTGACGATTGGTGGGAGATGTACACCGATGGGGCCTCGAGTGCGCGGGGCTGCGGCGGAGGAGCAGTGATCACTTCCCCCGAAGGTTTCAAGGCCTACTACTCTATGAA